TTTTTTTTGCAAAAGAATTTATACATGTATGCCTGGAGCCTTTATATGTGTGCACTTAGAGCCTTCAAACACACATGGCAGGCCATATCAACTCTTCAACATGTTTATCACCTTATAATGGGCCTATGACAGAGTGGGCTATTCAAGCTCATAGGCCTGAAAGTATATAGATATAAGTATGAGAGTTGTGAACTATAGAAATTAGAATGGATACACTATATTTTCAGTGTTTTTATACCCATATATGGCCCAAATCTTTCATTGAATCATATATAAAAAAGTCCCCCCCCCCCTAATTCCCCTACCCCATGTGCCTGATGAGGATCTTGAACCCCTTGTATGTATACTGCTTCTCCTCCTCACTGCCTGACACAATACTTAACTCAAGGACCCCTTCTACACAAAGTGTGCACTTTGTATCTTCTTACATTATATCAAAGGGCAGATTCAGCACAGCCTTTCCAGTTTGACTGCCATAGGAAGTGTGGAGCTGTGCATATGATTACACAACATCTGCTGAATATTAGAGTAATATTTAGGTCATATCATATCATAAATATATCTATCCATCTTTGAGCATCAGGTCTGCATCATATTATAACCATATATTCAGGTACTGTATTCAGAATATCTGTCGATTTCCAGGAAAAGTTATCATAAATGGGATGCAGACCTCAAAAGGTAACTGGTATGTGATGTTTAAATATCTGTGAAGGAATATGAAGATAATATACTCTAAATATATTATTCTTCCAAATATGCAAATATGGTATAAATCCAATATAACGTCTGGATTACATATTGTATTTGCATTTGGCTAGAACTAGGTTCCAGATTCAGAAAATTATCTGACGCCACCGAGTCAAAATTCAGAGGCCCGGGGAGCACGTAGATCAGAAGGCAAATGGCAAACGCCGTGCTTGGTATATACACATCCCTCCCATGCCCATGGCAGCCACTACACCAACAACGCCGCCGCCACAGCTGCAGCTGCAACCCTCACCAGACCGGCACCTCCGCCCAAAGCACGTGCGCCAGACTGCCCGCTGCCCTCGCCGTTCGCAGCTTTCCCACCCACGCTCGCTGCTGCCCCACCCGCACTGGCGCTGGGACTCCCCTTGGCTGGTGCCACCCACTCGAACGGCTTGACAGTCAACTTGTTTCCCGACCCAACGGCCGTCTCGCCCCCGGCGCCGAGCCGAACGGCCCCGACGAGCGCAGTAGCGGCCTCGGCCTGTGCGGGGACGTCGGCCTTCTTGCGAGGCGTGCTTGCCTGGCCCCATTGCGACGAGTACAAGTCAGTGCCCGCGGTCAGGGCTAGGTCACGCAAGGCGTTGTACTGGGTGGGTGTTATTGGTTGCGAATAGAGGCCAGGGAGGGACGTGCCTGGACAGCGACGTAGTCGTGAACATACCCGGCAATAGACGCAGAAAGAACCCCCGATGCGAAGGCGTATGAGAGCCCGCGGACGAGTGTGCCGTCCCCGCTTTGTGTGCCTGAAAACACTAAGATTCACCGAACGAAAAGAGATGCAATGAAACGGTACCGAGCAGCCCGATAACGCCCTCCTTCGTCTGCCACAGCGCAGTCAACAAGCCATTCCCGATCAGCTGTTCCAGCCTTCATCCCCAACTATCAGCTGACCTCTTCGGACAACGGTTCAGAAACACCCACATCGGCACCAGCCCCTGGTCCTGCACCTTTGCGAGCACCGCCAGCGCGTGAATCACGAGCCCCGCGTCGGTCGGCGACGCCATGCCAGTCGGGACACCACACCCGATCGCGGCGCCTTCAACGGTAAAGGAGGACCCGCTGCTGGGGGACATCGTGGAGAGTACAGCTGATTGCAAAAGTGTAGGTGGATTGTGGAGCGCGTTCGATGCTCCAAATTATTTACCGTTATTTGTCCAAAGCTATGCATTAATGTCGTATACTTCCTGTTTTGTACACACACCCGACCGTCTGCCCCACTTGCCCCACCTCCACTTTCAATGGTAGACCCACACAATTCTCATCTCAACCACTATGGCCCGCCTTGAACAACGCAAACGCATTTCGCGCTTCACCAAAGAGCGTGTTCTCTTCATGCATACATGGATGCATTGTCGCCACCTCCATATCGCTGTTGCCCTCGACATTTCAGTTCGTTCGGTCGAGAACATTCTCCGCGAGTTCCGTCGCACGGGCTGCCTCAAGCCAGCAGGCGAGAGCACGGACTGGATGATGGGGCGGCCGAGAACTCTCAGTAGTATGGATGTGGAGGTGCGTGTACTGCTTATCCTCCTATTCTTACCTACTGACCTTTTCACGCAGTACATTGTCGCTCTCATTGATCATACACCCGACTTGTACCTCTGCGAGATCCAACAGAAGCTACGGGAAGTTCGATGGATTGACGTCGATGCAGCGACGGTGTACAGGACCTTGAAGCGACGAGGATTTACTTATAAAAAGGTGTGTGGTATTTCCTACTGCTCGAATGAAACATCTAACACTGTCTTAAGCTCTCTCCTATCGCAGCTCAACGAGACGAAGAGCGCAGAGCTCAGTACCAGCTATGGATGGCCTTCCATTACACTGCAGATCAACTCGTGTTCGTAGACGAGGCTGCATGCAACCGACGGACTTCAAAGAGACAGTGGGGCTGGGCAAGAGTTGGCGAGCAAGCGCGAAAGCAAGATATATTCGTTCGCGGGATAAAGTGCGTCAATCAAGTTCCATACGAATACCACTGACTGCCCACTAGATATTCTGTCCTCCCCGCTCTGTCGCTTAACGGAATCCTCTACCTCGACATCATACCTCATTCTTTTACTGCACAACGATTCAACAGCTTCGTTGATGGCTTGCTCGACAACATGAACCCTTTCCCTGGCCCCAATTCAGTCCTTGTCATGGACAACGCGAGTATTCACAAATCTGCCGAGCTACGGCCCATGGTAGAAGCACGAGGCATGCGCCTAGAATACCTACCGCCGTATTCTCCCGACTTCGACCCGATTGAGGAGGGTTTCTCGGCGTTGAAGGCTTGGATTCGGGCTGAGCGGGACTGGACAAATAATGAGTTGGCAGGAGCTGACGCGTACGCAATGCTCTGGCAGGCGGTTTACTCAGCGATGACACCGGAGAAGGCTCAAGGTTGGTTTACTCATTCAGGATATTTGTAGTTGTAGAAGAAGACAATTCATTCATTCAGTGAGGAAAAATGGTATCGCGTAGAATGAGTATAAGTGTCAGAGGGTATCGCCGTTGTACACACAAACATCAAGTATGACGAGGAAATAAAAGGAAAGATTCTTTAGGCACGGTCTTTACCTTTAATCGCACGACGCCTGGCTACAGTGCACTGCTCCAAGAATTCATCGGCAATACGACCCGACATGCCAAAGGTTTCCATCAAGAGCTCGCGGCTGAGGAATTCAGTGTCAAAGCTGACATCGGTGAAACCCCACTCTGCCAGCGGTGCTGCAAAAGTCCACGCTGGAATTTCGTCCTCATCCACCATTGTTGACTGGCCGACGTCGCTGATATTATTCAAAATATCAGTAAGCGAGGGGTAGGTGATGTCGAATGTCTCGGGCCCAGACAGGTCGATGACGGTTGGGCTGGAAGTGGTGGGGAAGCTGCCAAGGTTGACTGACTGCGTGAATGAAGACATGTTGGCATTGTTTGCAGCTTGCGGCGCTATTGGTGCCAGTGGAGCCCGTTGGAAGGCAGGTGGGTTCGCGTTGTTGATGTGGACATGTACAGTAGCAGGGGCTGGAGGGGTTGGCTGCTCCTGTACTTTACGTCGCTTCGGCGGTGGGTGACTGAAAAACAAGTGTTGGAAAACGATGTTGTTGGGCGGTTTGGAGAGAGTGACGTCCGAATCATAGCCCTGTGAACAGTGTAAGTAAACTGAGAAGGAAATGAAGAGGTAACGCACCATTGACTTTGCCCATAGCCCCATCTCATAGTTGTTGACATGAATGTGGTCACCATTGGGATTGATGTAGCAGTAGTTATTGCATTTTGAGCACCGGAGATGCTCTCGAAGCCTACGGTAGTCGGGAGTGAGATCAGACGTGGCCTCGCTTCTCTCATCGACAGCTTTGCGCTTCAGTGATGGACGCTGAGAACTTGCTGTCTGCGTTGGCAGGGCCTAGAGACAATTAGTGTCCAATACGGCTCAAAAGAGTAGCCAACGCACCCGATTACTAATGGTAACGAAAACTTGCCGAGTCCGTGCCCTTTCCATGTTGCCAATGCCTGTCTGAAGACAGTTGATCCAGTCTTCTTCATCGCTGAGCGGACGCCAAGGAGATCCCCCGGTGTCGTTGTCGTATTTGTAACCGAGAAGCGCATTGACTGGGTCAAGACCCATCATGCTGCAGATAGACGTGTATGCGGTAACGAAGAGAGTGCCCCAATAAAAGAACATGTCTTCCATGGTTTGGGTGGCACCGACAACGTTTGAGTGCTTGGGAACCTTGAATTTGAGAGGTCGGGCTAGGAAAGCAGTGAATGGCCCAGGTCACGGTAAGTAAAAGCACGCACGATGTTCACGAATTCCTTGAGCCGGGTTGTTGGCTACGGGTGTGGCAGCAATGACTGGCTGAGCATTTGGCGTTGCTACAGCCTCGGCATAGGTGGGAGGTGGTTCGTTGGGATTGGAAGATGGTTGCGGCCCGTTTTGATTGAGGCACGTCCAGCCGGCATGCTGAAAGACGTGCTCGCGATAGTGGTTGTTTCCTGATGTCGACCTGGTATTTGGACGACTAGGAGGGATGTTTTCGTTGTTTACTGCTGGGGCCATGGGGGATTGGTTGGTTGAGATGCATGGATTCGAGCCTGATTATGAGGGCCCAGTATTGAGTGACGTCGTAGACCTCGCTTGAAGCTCCAATGTGGGGTACTTTGGAGTTGCCCCGCTCGCTTGAGCAGAAATAACGTTGGGATTTGTCGTCAAAGTACAAACAAAAGTAAATAATTTGGAGCATCGAACGCGCTCCACAATCCACCTACACTTTTGCAATCAGCTGTACCAGTCCCGCCGGGTTCGTGTTGTTCGAAAGCTGAGAGGAAATGTTAGTCTCGCCTCGCGCGGCAGAAGATGGGATAGAAACACACGGCGAGAAGCTGTGTGCGGATGAACGCCAGCGAGGTCGTCGCCGCGTCGAGGTAGGTCGTATTTTTCGTCGATTCATACAGAAGAGCGGACAGTCTGTGGGTTGGAAACCAGTGTTGAGTCGACGGCAGTGAGGGCAAGCCGGGTAACGCACAGTGAGAAGTAGCTGGAATTCAGCAGGTGAGCTAGTTTCACGAACAAAGGAGGTGCATTGACTCACGCGGTTGCGGTCGCGCTGACCGTCGGGTCCGTTGCCGTTGTCGTTGCAAACGTTCCGCCAGCGAGCGAGGCTGCCAAAAGACTAAACAATCAACAACGGCAGGAGAAACGAGTCGTACCACCGTTGCAATCTGTCAATAGGGGCGATGTCTTGCCGTCCGCATGCGCCTGGCGGATGCCGAGGGTGTTGGTGCGTCCGAAGGCCCACGAATCGACGGCGTATTGCTGAAAAATGGGGTCGGAGTAGGCGGAGTAGGCCTGGATGGCAGCGTAGCCGTATGCGCTACAGATCGTCAATCCTGTAGTAGGAAGGGGGAGATGGGAAGGAGACGAACAGTCCGTAGGCGACCTAGATGAGGAGAACGCAAGTGAGTCAAGAAAGTTCCAATCCTGCAGAATATCGCTCACGCTCAGGCAGAGTCAGAACAGTTAGTCGGAAAAGCATATATGAACGCACTGATTATCCTGGAACCCCGCCCTGACGCCCTCCGTCTTGCCCAAATAGCCCTTCAGCGCGTCCTTATTCGCGGCAGTGGCGGCCAGGGCGTCGAGTTCCGCCATCGCAGCAAACGTATTGGCAAACGCGAGGTACGTCTTTCCACCGTACGACGTGAATTGGTCAGCCCCCGCGAGCGCGTCGGCCGCCTCCTTTAGTGCACCGGACGCCGCGGCTGTGCGCTCTGCAACAGATGCGGCCAGAGCGGGCTTCTGTATGCATCCGCTCAGGACTCTGTGTCAAGGAAACCGAGAGGGATAGCGCACCCGCCAACCGGAGGGATCTACCACAGCCACGGAGCCACCGGCCACAGACCCGGTGGCCTGACTACTCGAAACGACCACGCTCGAGCCCGTGGGCGGCGTTCCCGGGCTGCCCGCATTCTGCGCGGCGGAGAGAGAGAGGAGAGAAACGAGCGTAGATGCGAGGAGCGCGCGACGCATCCCGAGATGGATGGACGAAATAAGGGGAGAGGAGATGGTGGGGGTCCGAAAACAAGGCGTGTTGACAATGACAAGTGGGAAGCGTGATCGCGGTATTGTAGCGAAAATCCGCGACGGCCGAGGCACCCGGGCGCCAATCGCGGGCGGTTACTGGGCGCCTTGGCATCGATGACCAAACGGTCGGCAAATGAGCGGACATTTCCAAGTGACGTGGCACTCTGGCAACATGAACGAATTTTCCGCCGTCCGACCCTTGAGCCCAGCATTCATCCATCTGGGTCGCCCCGCGCTTTGGCATGCCGCTGGCCGTCCAAGAGAGATGGTGGAGGAAAGGAGGATCATGGGGAAAGCGTGACACCCAGTGACCATGACAGATTAAATCTGATATCCGGTGATATCGATCGATGTCGGGTTTTTTCCTTCTTCTTCCCGTCATGCACGAATCGCTGCGGCTTTCAAAACTGTCGCGGCTTCCGCTACGGCTCAGGGTTGGCTCCCGCGTGTACAAGGATTGACCATACTGACCTTCTGGCGTGTATGTAGGTCCTTGCGGAACGCGCTGTGCGCGAACCGTACACACTGGAGCCACTGGTGAATCGCCTGGCTGCGAATCCACACAGGGCGCTCCTCCTCCCCGTTTTCTACGTTAACCTCGCCGTGGACGACATGCCTGCCCCTCCCGATGAGGACGTTGTCGAGTCACAGCAATTCCGCGCACGAGTCGCTCGCGCACTGCTGGCAGTCCAGGCACTCAACGATATTGCTCTAGACGTCCCTCCTGGTGCCGTGGATGATCTATGGCCACGCTACTGGGCGTGGGTGCAGTTTCTCGACGTATACAACCGTCATTGGCGCATTCCACCAGTCGAGCACCCCGCAGGCTTGAGCAGCGATTGGCTTGTCCTGATTCAACACTTGGCTGAGATATGTCACAAGATGAAGAAAACCACCATTTCGGACACGCCGGGGCTCCGGACGATGCTAACACAATTGTGGACCCACTTTGTCCGAGCACCATCAGGGGTGAAGAGAGCGTCGGCGCTCTATGTCATTTCGCGGATCTTCACCCTGCTGTTCAAGTGCAAAGTCGACGCTCAGATTGTGCTTGCTGAACTCTCCGAAGGGGTGGGAGGGAACCTGGCACTAGCTCGTCTCTGTGTGCAGCACCTGCGGAGCTCGTTTCCGGACGGAAATCAGCCGGCATCTGAGCCACGACTAATAGAGGCGATTTTCCTGATCGATCTCATCCCCGCCGTCAACCCCTTCATCCAGCGCGAACTTCACGAACAGGGAATCGTCACTGCCCTGACAACAACATGTCTCTCCATCAGCCAGATGGAAAACACCATCGGCGATGAGGACCATGGCGAGTCGATGCTGCTGAACGGCTTCCTATTTGCGCTTTCGCGATCCCTCGCAGTGAGGAATGCCGAGGTATATCTTGCGGAGGCCGTCCGAGCAGGCCTTATGCGGCTCGCCGTTGTGTCCAAGTTCCGAGGAGCGCACGCGGCAGCCCACTACCTCGTGGATCTAGTGGGGTTTATCCTCCCCCCATTCACCATCTACCCCGCTGTCCTTTCCGCTGCTGACGCCGCCCTGGCGGACGTCTCAAAAGCCTACGCCCACACTCCCCTCGATCCAGACGCGCGGCTTGCCTTCGAGAAGCTTGACTCGATCGTTTCATTCCGGCGTCGCGCGTTGCTTGTGTATCGGACTAACGCGCATCCCGCCATGGCTCAGCAAGCATGTTCAAATCCCAGAGTGCGTCCCGTAACCTTTTCGACACTGCTTTGACATTGGTTTGTTCCAGTGCCAGGTGATCGCCGAGCGACACCAGCTGAAACGATGCAGCCTATGTCGCGCGCAATTCTACTGCTCCAAGCTGTGCCAAAAAGCCGATTGGAGGTCCAATGGACATCGGCAGACCTGCAGCAGGCTGGCGAAACCTTCTCGTGAGTTCCCATACAACTAGATGTGCTCATGTGATGGTTCCCCCAGCAAGCAACGCCCTGGGGCGCCCCCGGGACCGCGCGTTTGTATCGGCGCTGCTCCTCAAGGACTATCTCGCGCAGCGGGACAAGATCGCGCAAGAAATTCTCCGTGCCTTCCGTATGAACCCGCACGCGCAGCTGTACGTCAGCTGGTCCTACAACTACGAGGAATGGCTGTCCACGCTAGACTTCACGCCCCACGCCACCGCCGTAGTCGAAGATACCACCGACACGGCGTTCCACGGCTTCTACGACACGAGCCCCGCCCTTCGTGCAGCGTACGAGGGGGGCACGGTCGTGCTCCACGTCTTCAATCCGCGCTTCCCCTCTCACGCCCCGTCCGCCATGGATCCGCCACAATTTCCCTTCCCCGCGCGGTCCAACCAGTATCTGCTGCTCCTCCGATCACCGAGTGGGGCGCTGATGCGGGGCCTGCGGCAACTCGGCGCTCAGCCAGCGCTGGATTGGACAATGTGCGAAGAGCAGATACAGGAACTGCTTAAGGAGGACGGGATACAGGCTTTTTCGTGTGGGTCATTTTTCTCGGCTCTGTTGGAGCCTCGCGTTGTGTAGTGATGTGCTTTATCTCTTCGTTGAATTCGGAGACAGGGCTACATATTTTACCTTCACAGTCAACGCTTGTCTTGGCAATAAATCGCGCTGTTTGAATTTCTAATAAACACTATTTATTTATTTGGACAATATTGCTACAAACTACAGAATGGCATGCAGATACCCATGTATAGGTATTAGCCATATATGCCCTAAAGGGCCTGGTAGCTATTATAATACTCTCCATTTCTGTTCCATAACAATTCCATAGGACATTGAATTTTACTATCAATGTAAGGGCAACCCCGGAGGCCTGAGATCAGGGTCCTAGCAGGGGAGGATCCAAAGAGTGAACATTGGTAAGCGAATACAAATGAAGCTGACCTAGCAGGGGAGGATCCAAAGAGAAGAAACTCTAAGGGTCCGCCTGCTAGGTAGCTGACTATATACTGCTTGTCCGTAGCTGCCGCTGTCGGGCACAGAAGGCTTGGGCGGCGTCGCAGGCGAGGTCCCAGGGCGACCGTCGGGAGGGCGTTGACGGATCGGTGATTGTGCGGGCGAGATGGAGGGCCGGACCGGAGTCGGAACCGGAGTCGGACCGGAATCGGGCGCGTCTCCGGGCCGAAAGGGAGGTTCCCCTGACAATCAATATATCAATATGCCAGAAATTCGCGTCTTGCATCCCATTCCCATATATCTGCAATTCTTTCTGAAATCTTCCTGGCATTCCCTCCATGACGGGTTAACATATAGCTTGCTGGTACTCCGAAATCAACCCCAATCTCCAGCTTCTCCAGCGAAGGAATGTTAGTCATAATCACACGACCGAGGTTCATCAGGAAAATGACAAAACAACTTATGCATCTTACACAACTTTTCCAAGACACAAAAGACTGAAATAAGATGTATAATACTGTCGCGTTCTGCGGGAGTGAAACGTGACGCATCACGCTTGAGATGTTTCGTTGCGGGTCCCTGAAACAGGTGACGGGTGACGCTGCCAGTGTTTCAACTCTTTACTGAGCGTTACAGAACCAAAATTTTATTAAGCAAATACATGTGAAATTAACGGAAAATCAATTATTCTTCTGAGTTGCCAATCCCAAACCGGACTGATTCAATGGTGCTGACATCTTCAGTGGCTTCAGCCGATTCCAGCCCATCGATATCTTCAGCTGTACGGTAGATAGGTTCCACCGAATCCGGTTCCTCAAAGGTTGCTGAGATGACTTCGGCTAATGGAATATCCACATCGTCGTCTCTGCGTGCCCGTCAAATTGGTCTTCTTCAACATCCACATTGTGTTCAGCGTTGGTGAGGATTCGGCTGAGTTTGGCAGCACCACACCGATTGCGGATCTCTTGGGCAGGTGTCGGGTCCGAGCCGAGATAGCTCAGCAGCGCTGTCTCGCTTGCTTCACTGCGAAGACATTCCTCAGAGAGATCCCATTCGGTTTCGGGTATTTTGCAGCGCTTCCAGCTCTTGAAAAGTGGTTTAAAAGATCATAATGCAGCAAAAAACAACGGAAACTCACCTTTCTTATGAGTTCACGGCCTTGAGGAGACGAGAGATACTTGAAGAGATCAACAAGTGGCTGCACGACACTGTCCCGAAGTTCGCCGATCTTGTTGGGGAAGCGGACGTCAGGCGGTGCGACACCTTGGGCAATGAGTTTGCGTGCATGGTCCACAAGGAAGGACTGGGCCTTTTGCTTCAGAAAGTGTTTGATAGGCCGATTCAAGCCGACGTCGCAGGGTTGAGCGATGGGTGTGCAGCCGCCAGGAACGTAAATAAGGATGATACGAGGTGCTTCGGCAAACACGAAGGTGCGGAATTCAGTCCCGGTATGGACGGGGTAAATGTTGATGTAGACGATCATCTTCTGGTCTGAAGGTAAACCATCTTCGGAAATGACCTTCTTTCGCCATGGTTCCAGAGTATTGAGAACCCAAATTTTCATGGTGTAGAAGGTCGAGTAGTGGCTGTTTGCTTTCTCACTTTTTGCTGATGTAAAAAGGATGCCCAGTTTCTTTGCTTCTACCATTCCTGGTGCTGTCGCATGGGGAAGGGTCCTATCGGTTTTGCCGTTGAAGATAACCTGGAAGTCAAGTGCATCGCCGTTTTGTGTGACGGTGACCATCAATGTGTAAGCGCGCTTTTCATCCTTTGCCGCAATATCGACTTGCTTCCCGCCAATGTCGTGGAAGGTGCAGTTGCTTGAAGGTACGAGAACGACCCCCGTTTGGTCCGCATTGATGACAAGCTATAGATTCCTTAGTCACCCTGCCACGTCACCTCAGGCTACCTATAACCCTACCCTAGGAGGCTTCAGATTCCCGGTGGAACCCAGTACCTAAGAGGGTGTCAGACCATGGTCTGATACCATGGTGCTTGGGTCCATCCACAATCATGGATGGATCCATGGGTGTCACGCACATTTTAGCCCTGGGTCTATCCAACCCCCTTGGATGCATCCAGGGGGGTGTGGATGGACCCAGGGCTGTTTTCCTAATTGGGCTGGCGGGTGAATGGCTTGTAGCTCGACGCCCAAGCACCCAAAAAAATACGATGCTTGGACCAGTCGGTAGGTGTTCTCTCACTGTCTTTGATCTGATCACCTAGTGACGGGGAAATGCTCGGTTCAAGTCCAGTTGTTGTTTTCTTTTTTTTTTTTGTCAAAATGGCTTTCTTTGGCCTCTGATTACCCTTCTAGCACCTCCTTTTTGCACCCAAAAAATCGCCAGGGCATTCCCTCCAAGATGGTGTCACTGCCTAGGCAATTGGTGGCCAGATCATGGACCTTTGAATATTTTTTGATTTTTTGAGCTTTGCACTGTATGATACTCCAAGCACTCTATACAGACAGTAGGTACTGTACAGGTAGTCTATCATACATGCCAAGTTGACCTCCATGTAGCCCCACCCTAGGGCCCTGGCCTGGCGTTGCGCGCTGGGGCGGTTGATCGGCCATCAATGATGCCATCAAGCCGATCGGCATGTTCGACTTGGGCTCAGTATGGATGGACCCATGGTGCCTGGGAGACAGGACCATGGATGCATCCATGGGTAGGTTCAATACCATCTATGGATGCATCCATGGACAGGTCTGAACCAACCATGGGTCCATCCATGCGCGCATAGATGCATCCATGGTCAGGTGTCGAACCACGCGTGGATGCATCCACGGTCACGGGTCAAACCATCAATGGATGCATCCACGCGTCACACGCGTCGAGGCATGGGTCCATCCATAGACCATGGATGCATCCATGGCCCGCCTCCAAACGCGTGTGGATCGACCCACACCGCATGGATGCATCCATGTCTCCCCCACCTCAAGCATGGGTCGACCCATGGGGCATGGATGCATCCAGGGCGCGCGCATGGGTCCATCCACACGGTCATGGATGCATCCATGCCCTTCCTTTTCAGGCGCATGGATGCATCCATGATGCGTGCTCACTTATACACATGTCGGCGCGCGTCTTATGCTTGAATGACACAGTACTTACTACCCCACAGTACGGCAGGGCAATGCGTTAGACGCGTGTTGACGCGTTAGACGCGTGTTGACGCGTTATACGCGCGCGTCTCGACTTATTGAGATGACTGAAGTCGACGCGCTACACGCGGTCACGTGTAGAGTCTAGGCCATCACACGCGATCATTCCGCGTCGCGGTCACGGGTACGTGTGTACTCGTGAAGCACATAGCTGGTCAATGTCATGAGGAAAAAAAAACGGTGTGCGCCTCGTTATAACAAGTTGGCGTGACTTGAACTACTGGTACTGACTAAAACAATTTCGGGCACGCGTGTATTAACGTGTATTAACTGTACTTAATTAAAGTCAACGCGTAAGACGTGTTTCGATTACTCAGTCGAGTCGATGCGCTAGACGCGGTCACGTGCAAGGGCTGGGCCATCCAACGCGATCACTCCGCGTCGCGGTCACGGGGGTAGGCACGTCGCGTGCTCAAGAACACGATCACTCCACGTCGCGCGCAAGTCAGAAGGGCACAACTTGAAACATATCGACATAGTCATAAATTCATATAAGAGATACACTACTGGAATACATAACTCTGCAAGTCCAACACTGCATCGGCAAACTGCTGCTGCCGTGGGTTCATGTGGGGTCTAAAGCCCTCCAAGCGCATCCACTTGTTTCCCTTTCTATTGTCCAAGTTAAACTCGAGGGCGGCCCACTCTTCCGGATACGCGGGGTCTTTCGGGTCGTACTCAGACAGCCCAAGTGCCGGGAAGTGGTTGGTCGTCTTGGTGCCGACAGCGTAGCGGCATGTAAGGTAGGGATAAGGTGTGTAATCCACTTCAAGTCGTTTGGCGGGTGGCTGGTCGATCTCGTCCTCGTCCTCGTCCTCCTCGACCGGGCGCAGGCGCTTTTTTGAGGTTGAAGCCTCTGGCTCGCGAGGCTCGTCGGCTTTCCCCGTGTCCGGCTCCGTCACAACCTCCACAGGCCTGCGAGTCGTTGAGCGTTTGGCTTTCTTGCTGGGCTTGGGCTTCGCCTGCGTCTCCGAAAGGTCCTTAGCCGCCAAAACCTCCATCAACTTTGATGAATGCGAGACTGTGAGGAGAACGCGACCGTCCGCTGCAATGACGATAGGAACGTCGCTGGGATCAGCGAAGTTTCTTCTCCTCTGGAGTCCAAGCCTCCATATACGGAGCATCGGCTGCTGGGCACGTCTTGGGGATGGGTTCCTTGCCCTCGTACTCCAGATACCAGTTTATCATGGACTCCGCCATGTCGCGCAGGGCTTTGGTGGCTGCCGCCTGTTCGGGGGTGTTCTTGATGTCGTTGATCGTGCGGCCCGTGCCCGGCGTAAACTCGATCAAAGCCAGCGGCCAGTTGCACCACCGCAGATATTGGGCGTAGGCAAGGTCTTCGAAATGCTTCCAATTCATGCGCTGGAAGCGGACATCTTTTGCAACGACCTCAGGATCGATGCCGAGTGCCAACAAGACAATTTCTGAATTCCAGTTAGCGACCACAAGGTGCAATGAA